GCAGCAAAGACCAACATTGAGAGTCCCTGATATGGCACCATTCCCAGGGTGATCAGCCAGCTACCTGCCCATGAGTTGATTACATTGGACGACTTCCCATCAAGAAAAGAACACCATTTCGTTCTTAGTGGAATAGACACTCTAGATATGGATTGGCCTTCCCTGCATACTTCTAACAAAACTACCATCCATGGACTTACAGATTGCCTCATCCACTGTTATGGTATTCCACACAGCATTGCTTCTGATCAAGGAACTCATTTCACAGGCAAAGATGTGCAGCAATGAACTCATGCTCATGGAATTCACTCCCTGAAGCAGCTGTCTTGATAGAATCATGGAGTGGCCTTTTGAAGACACAAAGTGGGCACAGTACCTTGCAGGACTGGGGCAAGCTTCTTCAGAAGGGTTATATCTTCTGAATCAGCATCCTATATATATGGTGTTGTTTCTTCCATAACATGGATTCACTGGCCTAGGAATCAAGGGGTGGAAATGGGAGTGGCACAAATCACTACCACACTAGTGATCCACTAGCAAAATTTTTGCTTCCTGTCCCTGTGCCCTTTGCTCTGCTGTACTAGAGATCTTTGTGCCAAAGGGAGGAATGCTTCCATCAGGAGACAGAACAACGATTCCATTGAACTGACAGTTAAGACTGCCACTGAGCCACTTTGGATTCCCCATGTCTCTGAATCGACAGGCAAAGAAGGGAGTTACAATGTCAGCTAGGGTGACTGATCCTGCCTACCAAGGAGGAATTATACTTCTGTTCCAGAATGGAGGCAAGGAAGAGTATGTCTGAAACATGGGAGATCCCCTAAAGCATCTTAGTATTACCAAGTCCTGTGATTAAGATCAATGGAAAAGTACAACTCAATCCAGGCAAGATGACTTAGCCAAATAGTGGCTAAGACCCTTCAGAAATAGACTGGGTCACCCTGACAGGTAAAGAACCATGACCAGCTAAGGTGCTTGCTTAAGGCAAAGGGAATAAAGCATGGGTAGTGGAAAAAAGTAGTCAGTCACAAGTACTACCTACGACCACATGACTAGTAAGAGGAATGAAGACTAATTCTCATGAGTATTTCTTCCCTATCTTGTCATGGATCAGTTTTAGTCTTACTTCAGGCTGCTGTAACAGGGTACCATAGACTGGGTGCCTCATAAACAACAGAAATGTATTTCTCACAGATCTGGAGGCTGAAAGTTTGAGATGGTACCAGTTTGACTGGATTCTGGTGAGGGCCCTCTTCCAGGTTGTAGACTACTGACTTGTCCTTATATCCTCACATAGCAGAAAGAGGTTGAGGAGCTCTCTGGGGTCTCTTTCTGTAAGGGCACTAATCACATTCCTGCAGACCCCACCCTCATGACATAGTGCCTTCCAAACGGCCTTATATTATCACATTGGGGATTGATTCCAACACATGAATTTTGGGGAGTCATAAACATTCAGTCTCTAACACACTCTATATGTTTGTTTTCTTCCTTCTCTTATTCTCTTACCTTGTGATAGATGTATTGATATAATAACATTTAAGTATTAATTTTATATCATATTATTTAAGTAATGGGATATTATGGAGAAGAGTAAATATCACTCAAATACCTCATCTTCTCTTCTGGGAAAGGAGTTGGTGTGTTTTCAGTTGTATGCAAGGTAGTTGTTATCGTGAGGTGAAATTACGACATTGTTATTGTCTTTATTTGGAGTTTATGGTTTAAGGAGATGTGTATGGGTTCCAAACTGACAAAGGGTGGACTTGTGATAGTTAATTTTGTGTTTCAACATGACTGGGCCATGGAGTGCCCAGACATTTGCCCAAACATTTTTCTGGGTTTATCTGTGAGGATGTTTCTGAATGACATTAACATTTGAATCTGCAGACTTGAGTAGATGGCACTCAATAATATAGATGGGTCTCATCCACTCAATTTAAGACTTGAAAAGAGTAGAGGAAGAGGGAACCCTTCCTGCCTGACTGCTTGAGCTGGAACATGAATCTTTTTCTGCAACCAAACTTGGTCTGAAACATTGGCTCTTCTTGGGTTTTAAGTCTGCTGGCTTTTCAACTGGAACTACATCCAGTTCTCCTGGTTCTCAGGTTTTCAGATTCAAACTGGAACTTATGGGTGCTTGCAGATTTTGGGACTTCTCGGCCTCCATGACTGCATAAGCTAATTCCTTAATAACCCCACCCTCTACCTACATATGGTACAAACACACGCAAGCACTATTGGTTCTATTACTCTCCAGAATACTAATAAACCCCACCCAACCTCCCACCTTGCCTCACAGCACCCTTTGAATCCCCTGTCTAAGCTTGACTTAACAGGGTACAACCATTCAGAGCTCCTCCATGGGTCTAAGCTTGGCTAACACGGTGAAACCCCGTCTCTACTAAAATACAAAAAAAATTAGCCGGGCGAGGTGGCGGGCGCCTGTACTCCCAGCTACTCGGGAGGCTGAGGCAGGCCAATGGCGTGAACCCAGGAGGCGGGGCTTGCAGTGAGCTGAGATCCGGCCACTGCACTCCAGGCTGGGCAACAGAGCTAGACTCCGTCTCAAAAAAAAAAAAAAAAAAAAAGAGCGGGGACCAGGTATTATCCCTAGTCCCTAACCCTCTGCCTGACACACAGTCAGTTCCTCCAGGGCTCACCTTCTGCTTTCCTGCCTGCTGAGTACTTGGCTGTCAAGATTTCTGTGCTGGCTCCCAGATGGCTTCGGCCTTGTGCATTTCCCCACTATACTGGGGGCTGCCTTGTGCATTTCCTCTACTCCTTTGAGTGATGTTGCCCTTCGTCTCCTCAGAGCAGCAATGAGATCCTCCAAAGCTCTTTCAAAGTAGGGCCTAGTGGAGCCAAAGGCAGCTTCCAGGATGTCAGGGCTAGACCTGGCCATCCTTAATTGGCCTTCAACATTTCACTTGGCCTATGGCTTTTAGCACTAATCACAGAGGAAAGTTGCAGAAGCACAGGGCATGGGGTTGGGGTGGCATGGAAGAAAGCACATAGGATTCAGAACTAGAAGATGCAGGCTCCAGGCATACTTCTTTCAGTTACTAAGTGTGAATTTGAATAAGTCACTGGAACTCTGCAACCCCTTTGTTTTTTGTTTTCATTTGTTAAATGAAAATAATAAAATCTACCTCATCGGGTGGTTGTGTGACTAAAATGAGACTATGTAAAAAGCACTTTGTCAACTGTGAAATATAATTATAAGCCTCTCGAAATGGATCTATCCTTAGAAGTTTTCCAAAACTAAAGAGGGAAGAATTTTAGTGACAGCCTTTGAATTCCAAATATGTATGAGTGAGCCAATGAGGAAGAGGAGGCTAGAAGGACACAGTGAACAAAGTGGACCAGAGAGGTGAATATAAAATCTTATTTACATTGAAATCTATGTGGACAATCTCTAGTTATCAAATTATAGCTCTTCTTCACAAGAGCTGAAAAGGAGCAAGAAACATTCCAAAATACTCAACTACTATACTCTGAAGTAGTAGACTGTCTGTAACCATTAGCTGGGAAACATGTTACTACAGACCTTGTAAAACATGTCACAGGATACTGTGTTTATTTGGTTAATCTGCAGAGTATGTTTTTTATAGAAAACTGAATTTGCTCAAACCATAAATGAGCTTACCAACCCTGGGTTAATTTGCTCATCACTATGTATTTGATGTATTTTGCAAGTGAGAAAGCATTCAGTACATACCTATGAGAATGGCTAAAATTTTAAAAACTGAAAATACTAAATGCTGATGAGGGTATAGGGAGCCACTGGAACTCTCATACATTGTTGATAGAAATGCCAAATGGTTATGACTTTGGAAAATGGCTTGGCAATTTCTTACAAAATTAAACATACACTTATCCTTTGACCCAGCAATCCTATTTGATCCCAAAATGGTCTAGAGAAATAATAGCGTATGTCCACAAAAATATTAATAATTGCCCTGAACTGGAAATAATCCAAATGTCCACCAACATTTCATAGCACATCCATTCAATGGAACACTGCTCAGCAATAAAAAGCAATGAATCAATGGTGCATGGCTAAATCTGAAAAGCATTACAAGTGAAAGAAGCAAAAACAAAAGGCTACATAACATAGGATTCCATTTATATGACATCCCAGCAAACGAGAAAAAATTAGAACTCACTGGATGCCAGGGCCTTGGGTTGGAGAGAGGGGATTTCCTGTAAAGGGCACTAGGAGACCTTGAATGAGCCAGACAGCATACAGACCTACAGAACTCAATCTTCTTAGCTCTTGTCAGACTTTTGTTTATTTCTTGGGGCTCCCCAAGGCGCTGGGGTGGAGACGGACTTTAGCTTCAACCTCAGCTTTCGAACTTTCCAGCTATGTTGACTTTAGACCAGTTACTTAAATTCTACTTCAGGTTCCTCTACATACTTCACCTAAGTGTTGAAAGGTGTTCAAGGAGGTCAGTATAAAGCACACTGGCTGGACATTTTTTCTCAAAGGAGCTAAATGATGTCAATAAGCAACCAACTGGTCTTCTTGACTACATCTCTAAAATCCATTAGAGCTTGCTGACCCATCCAGGTGTTGGAGCACCAACAAAACCAGATCCATGAGTATGCAATGTGGCATCACACCAATTCCTGATCTCTCCCTATTATACTATACTCTCCAAAAGGAACTCTCAGCTCTAACCCAGTTGGTGTTTCTGGTCTACCATTTCTAAGTGTCTAAAGGCACTGACACTCAGTGGGCATAAGGCCTCCCATTCATAGGTCTTTCCTAATTCTTCAGTCTCTTGATTTTTTACTCCAGTTTCCTCTATGCACTCTTGTAAACTTTAATGCCTGTGTTACCAATTTCACATAGGAATTCTGCCTAACACACAATTAAAGTTTGTTGATACAATGATTATATTGAGAATCTGAAAACCTGATGTAGGCAAAATAAGGACTTGGAGGATTTATGAGCACTTTGAGACACACAGAACACACACACACAGAACAGGTTGCTAGAAGGCATCTATTACTTTATTCAATAATTTTGGAAATGTGATAGGATTACAAACCTTGTCCAGGCCCTACTCTTACAATGGGATACATAGAAGTCACTACAGGTAATGAAGCTAAAATGAACAATAAGCAAGTAGAGACAAAGAAAATGCAATGACTTTCAACATGCTATTGAAAGTTGGCCCAAAACTTTTTCATGAGTTATTTCACTGGTAATGAGTACAGCTGTAGCTTTCTATACCATCACACATGTATCCTAAGATTTCTAGAGAACACTAGTTTGTAATTTTAGATATTCACACTTAGGCAATTCTGAGATGTCTCTGCTGCAAAGTGTCAGAGGGAAAAACAAACCCTTTTCAGCTTCCTTTCTCACAGCCAGGATTCTTTACAATCTATATTCTTCAGAGAGTGATTGCAAAGGAATTTCTTTCAAAGGACCGAATACACTTATTGGAGAAGAGATTCACATTTTAAATGATGGTTTTTAAAGTTTCCATTTAATTACTATAGTCAATCTGTTTTTCAGTTTCCAATTATTATTCTCAGCATAGCCTACGGACTAATTCACCATGATTTCTAAGCAAGTACTTATATACATGGGATGATTTTATTTTTTGTTAAGGCAACTGGAAATAAATGCTAGGAACAAATTCTGGCAGAGAAAAAGCTAAACATTTTTCTGCTGAACGTGCCAAAAGTGGTGAACATGCCGATTTTGAATTACCTTCTGCCTTACCGGGCCAGAAAGCTTGATGTGTTACTTCCTCGCGTGATAGGTTTTTTTTTTTCTAGCTATAGTAAAGTCCCAAAAGCAATTATTTTGTAAAGGAATCAAAAGCTTTCATCTTTTGCTTACTCTTCATGTAAGGATTTGGAGGTAACATTCCAATAACTCATTTCTATTTGATGCAACCAGCGACCATAGAAAAAGCATGTCCTGTGAAGGACATGTATGCTCAACAAATTAAGAAAGTCACTGTCTGGAAACAGCCAACTTTCTTCCTCACTTCGGTAGCCCTGGGGTTGACCCAATCGTCTTCGATTTCTTCCTGTGGGTGTTTTTCATTTTTTCAGTTCACTTTCCTCTCCACCCCATCATTTCAAAGGGCTTAACAATGTCTTTCCTTTAGAGTGATCTTGTGTAAGTTTTTCCGTCATGGGTATGTCTGCAATTCATCTCTGCTGGGTTTTTTGTCTTGAGCCAGCATTCGTGGTTTACTCTCTCCTCAGTCTATCTTGTTCCAATTACACCGGAGAACTTTATTTCAATTCCCATGAATATACATATAGAATCCTAGTACTGTCCAGTGGAATAAATCTCATGTTCCTATTTTCTATTACTGGATAACATGTCTCATGAGTTTCTGTTTGCTCTGCCACAAGTTAAGAATTCCCTGTCCTAAGGTTTGTTGCCTCTCACTGCTATCAATTTGGCATTAAGCTTTTTCCTTTATCTCCACCTCTCTTGATGTCTAGAAGCAGAGGTATTTTCTTGGCGTGATGCTCAGCTTTTGGCCCAAATTATGGTTTAAAGAATCATCCACATTGACAATTTTAACAGTGTGCACCTGGATTCTAAGGAATCTTATTTTCTACTTCCTCTCTCTTGCTTTCAAGCTTATAAAAATAAAAATCATCCTCGATTTATTCTTGGATTTTCTAATCTTTACATGTTTCTTAGGTCCTGACAATTCTTTGCCCAGAGAGGAAATTCTGTTATCTGCTTCTTTCCATTTTCTGGCCATCCACTACATGGCCAGAGGTCCTCTCTCAGAAAGCTTACATTCTAGTATAGTGTAAGACAATTTTAGAAAGGGGTAGCCAGGGCTAATACACACATACAGATCAATTGGGTGGCAGCCTTGAGGGCAGTAAAAGTGGTCATTCCTGCCTGGCTTGTGGCCCACAGTATGTGCTTAATTCTTCTTAGCTCAATGTGTAAAAATATACAAAACACGGTGGGTTTTTAAAAAATCACGATTTGGCTGAGGAGTGACTGCACTATCTTTAATCAAAACATTTAAAATACTGTTTCTAGATTGGAAGAGACTAAAGAGGTGTAACAACTAAATACAATGCTTATCCCTGGATTAAAAAGATAACAGCTATCAAGACCATGACTGGTACAAATGGGGATATTTAAATCTGCACAGTTTATTATAGTATTGTACCACCATTAAAATTCTTGAGCGTGATCATTGTACCATTGTATCATGCATCATAGGAGAATGCCCTTATTCCAAAATATCAGGTGTGAAGTGCCATAATGTAATTTATTCTCAGAATCTATTTACAGAAAGTGAGAAGTACACACACATGTATAGCACAAGAGTAAGGCAGGAAATACGGTAAAATGTTAACAACTGAAAAATCTAAGTCACAGGTACACAGATGTTCATTATATTATTGTAGCTTTGGAAATTTTCAATAGAAAATTGGAAAAAACAAACAAAAAAGGATGAAAAATGCTTTAAAGACTACCTTAAATGGTTTTTGAAGAGAAAGCCAGAAGAGAAGAAAAAATTTACACATCTGTTCTGAAACCAAACACAAATACTTTTTATTTATGGGATATCATTTTACATCAATTTCATTGAAACCTAAAACCAGTTTGCTTTACTCAAGTTAGGTGGCATAAGCTGGGAGTCACAGGACTTGCACACTTTTATGAATGTAACGCAAATACTGACGACATGAAGCATTCACAGTTATAGGTTACCTGCTGCCATTGAACAGTAACCCCCAATAGAAATTATTTTATGAAAAAAGCAACCCACGTTTTGGTCTCATTTACAGACACCCAACATTTTAGTTGGTCAACGAAATGTATACATTTATTATACAACATATGAAGGAATAAAGGATAAGGCTTACAGAGGTATTTTAGCAGTTGTAATAATAAAAACTAAGGACACAAACTGACTTTTAAAGCTTTCTGTATAAACTTCAAAAGCACTGTTAAAATGGAGAGTGAGAGACAAAATAAATCTATTGTGAAACCAGAATCTAGGTTTGTCTAGTCAGATTTATAAAAACGTAATTCAGAGTTCATGCTTCAAAAAAGGTGCATGTAACATTACAGTGGATGTTTGGGGCAAATCAAGTAATAAAATTTCTGACCTACTTCAGCAGCAAACATCTAAAGGTTGTATTCCATGACAACAGAGTATTGCAATGTGGAGTTCAAAACACAATAGAAAAAGAGAAAGGTTTGTAGACTTAGGTACTAAAGAAAACCCAGATGAAGGCACCCTAATTTATTCAACAGTAGCCAGTAAATAAGTTATTGATGATTGTTCAATTTTGTGCAACTTAAGAGAGGTTTTTAAGAAAATGTATTACTCTGACCCCTTTTTCTCCCCTTAGAAATAACTATATAAAATCAAGAAAACCAAGGGTAAGCACTCTGCCACTCAGCGGTCACAGAGGTTTATTTTTCAAGGCAATTTAAAGATTATTTGGAGCTTTCTTAATATGCAAGATTATCCCTTTGGAATACTTACTTTCTTATCATACATAATGCAATAGTTTTTACACAGTTTTTTCCCTACCATCAACATGTTGATTGTGGAGTAACTGTAACATCTCCCTCCTGTAACAATCCTCTCATTTTAGAATTAACTGTGCTTATTAGCATTTTAAAAAAAATCTATATTCTAGCATAATGTTTAAAATAACTCCATCTATGATTTACATTTGCTTTAAATAAAGCTACAGTTGATCATATTTAAAGAACTGTATGACCTGTTGCCTTTAAAGTGTATTTTTTAACTTTATGGAATGATTTTGAAAATGAATCAATTCACAGATCCAAATCTGCCTACGCCAGCCACCACTGCAAAACAAATGCATCCATCACATCAGTTTTAATAGCTGTTGCTTGCCATCAACATGTTCTATTCTTTTCAGATATTGGTTTATGCAAACTGGTATTAATTTTTAAGGTTGAAAGTGAATCTGCAAACAAGGAGTGGTTACGTATGCTTAATCACTACAGGGTTTTTTAAACTTCTGGTTTATTTCACAGCAAATAAAACCTTTCGTTTGGTAGAAAAAGAAAGTCGTTGCATTCTACTATATCATGATTTTGTATACACACACGCACTGTATATACATACAAAATTTCTTTCTTTGGTGGGTTAGTTAGGGAAAAAATATGAAAATGTGAACACTGTTTGCAAATAAATGGTAAAATAGTGGTCAAGAGTAGCATTGTCTGTGTGCTTTATTCACTTAATGCCATTTAAAGGATCACATGTCACCCAAAAGAATTTTTAGCCAGACTTCCAAATAACCCAAACCTTTTCCAATCATCACATGCTTAAATCACGGATCTTGCTGACGACAGCATTTACTTCTTCAAATGCACCACTCACTCAAATCATTAGACTTTTGTGTTTTCACAGAACTTTAGGGACTGAATTAGTCATTCAATAGCACCAGATAGTTGGGGTGAAAACGTCATCTCTATATTTCCTCAAGAATGGCAAAAAAAAAAAAAAAAAAAAAGACATAAAATACAAACCTAAAAATACCATTCTGGTTATTCTTGTTTCCTCATCCACAAAAATAATGGCCATCACCCTTCTGTACAAATAACTCAGGTAATGAAAAGTGGCCCCTCTAGGACAGGTCCTAGCATGTACTGGGTTAGCTCAATGCTGGTGGTTTCTTGTCCACTGCCTGCAATGGACATGCTGCCAGGAAAAGCCTAGCATGAAACAAACGAACAAGGAAAACAAAACAGAAAACAAAACAGCTCTCACTTATAGTATGCTTGTTTTCTCAAAAGGCTGGAAAATTACACACCATGAAAGCTTAATTGAAAATTCAAGCCACAACTAGAAGTGTGATGCAGTTATAAATAGCCAGCAAAACCATGAGGTTTTCCTTGAGGAGGCAAAATAAATTTTACTTAGAGTGGCAAAGAAAGCATTAGCAGATCAATCACTGGCTAGAAGAATGCAAAAGGAAAAAAAGAAAACAAACGAACAAAAAAGTTAAAGAATGTTTACAAGAGTTTAAATCCCATTCTTTTAAGAAAAGAGGTGCAATTTGAGTTTGTTCATTGGTACCTACATTCAAGCTACTATAGTTTTAACACTAAAAAATAAACAACTTATATACCTCGTGTGGTGGAAATAATTTGTGGCATGTTACATATCTATATGTTCAAATAATTATAACTTTCGTCATTTTAGAACACTAATATTGTTAAATATACCAAATGATATTTGGCATATGCCTCTGAAAAGTTATGACTCTTACCTCCTTCCAGAAGTTGGCCTCTTAAATAGTAAGGTTAATTCTGGCAATGTTTGTTCATGGTAACAGTTTTGTCGTGTTTTCTGATATGCTACATAGGAGACCAAATAAAGTATAATTGGTTCATTCAAAAAAGGGACTAGAAATGCCACAAAATTATTTTTACAATACATTTTTCAGAAATAATCTCTAGGTGAAGGTTTTTCCTTTTATACACATATACAAAATTTAAACAGCAATATACACATAATCACAGTGAGGACATTGGCAAATTCACCAATCTGTAGTGTAAATACAAACTGCAAAGCAGCCTTCGAAGAGAACAATGCCACACAGCAAGCAGAGCTGGCCAATTCAATAGCAAACACCAACATGTTCCTGCGAAAGGGAAACAGTGCAAGAAAAGCAGCATGCGCTTTAATACAAACAGCAATTTATGGCTAATGGGTGACATAACTGTGGTAACAGTGACTCTCTCGCTGCTATGCATAAAGTCCTAGGACATCTGTTTGTCTTTATACCATTCCACAAACTCGTCCAACAAAACTGGCCCTGGAGTGAAAGAGAGAAACAGTAGTAGTAGTAATAATAATAATAATAATAATAATAATAATGTAGCCGAGGCTTTTCCCAATGAAGATGATATAGAAAGGTACATGAATGGCAGAAGGGTAGCGGCAGTACTTACATGCTCCATCTTCATCATAGTTGCTGAGGTCAAGATTAATCGTTCTGCTAAACTCTAGGACATTGCACCACTGGTCTTTATTAATAACTTTGTATTTTGATTGCTGATGGAGGGAAAAGTAATATGAATTACTGACACTTGAACAAATGGGACGGTTTCAATTGCTCTATGAATCAACATTTAAGTTCATGTAAGGTTAACTCTTTGCATTTGAGGTTTGTTAAGCACCAATCTAGGAGGATGGTGAGGGAGAGTAAGAGTTGAATTTAAGATGACAATTGTCATTACAAAAATATTATAGGGTCTCAATACAAAATGGAAAGCACATCAAAATAACATGATTATACATCCCCAGAAGTGAAAATTCTAAACTGCAAAAGCTGTTTTATATAAAATGGGGATAATATCTACTTCATAAAGATATTGTAAGAATTAAAAGAGATGATTTACTAATTCATGTGAAACACTTCATTCAGTGCTTGGCACAAAGTAAGTGCTAAATAAGGAGTAGGTCCCATTAATATAACCCCTGACATAACCAGCACTGCCCATGGCCAAGCCTTTGGCTTAAAGCACATGCAGCAGCAGGTTACTTGATGAGATCCAGTAAGTGCTGCAAGTGGTCTCAAAACTAGGTATTCTTGTCACAGAAAAAAATTACTGTTCTAATAATTCAAAACTGGAATCTGATCATAAAAGAAACTAGAATAGCTGTGAAATAGTTTTTCTATTCCTCTTAGACAAGAACTTTGCCATGTATCTATTTAAAAATACAGTATCCCTGTACAAAGATTCATAAATAAAATCCAGAACCAATGATTTTTAAATCCTCCCCACTAAAATCAGAAACATAGTAAAACAATACAAGTACATAAAAAGCAAAGAGATTTGGGCCAATGGTTTTGAGGATGCAAACACAAGAAAAGCTGAAATGAGAGGAATACTGTCTTTTTTAAAGAAAAATGCAGACTAATATAAGAGAACAAAGCACAGACTATAAGTTTAACTTTCTAAGCAAGTAAAAGCAAAAACCAGTTCTGAAACAGTTGATGATGCACCTGGAATTATGCAAAGTCAGATTTCCTCCAGGCCAGGTCTTCCAGCTTAAGACTCTTTACACGCAGGTGCAAATCCAGCTAAACTCTCTGAGAACAGGAAACTATTTCTATTTATTTTTCCAAATAATGATAACTCATCTCAACGGATTGCCAGAGAAATCAGAACAGATTATATGTCGACATGGACTACTGGGTAAACAGATACTTACGTAAAACTAGTTTTTAAATTTTTGAGGAGTCCCAGTTAGTAATGTTAAAAGAAATTTTTAATAACAGTTCTCAAAGAATCCTATTAGATATTAAAATTTTCTGGACTATTACATAAAGTAAGTCGTGAGAAAGATTATTCAAGAGTGAAGCCAGAGTCATCATACAGCCCAGCATTTTCTCAAAGACCCAACACCCTCATCCTTGCAAACAAAGGACCATTTTTAGAAGGGCTTGGGGTGGGAGGGAAAGGAGGATGCCATATATGACAACCCAAGTAACTCAAATTTGTATCCCATATACTTCCAGGTCCCACAGAATGACACTTCAACAAAACCAGTAGCTCAGAATTTCTGATCATCAATACTTAAAGCCCACAAACAATGATGGAATAAAGTGCTGGACTGTTTTGATACTGATCTGAAGACAATTTAAACTGAAGGAGATATTGTCAGTTTGCCTAATACTTAGATTGATCTAAGGTCCTCAAGTTAATTGGTGATAAGAGTAGATAAGATCAGATTACAAACTAATTTTGGTAAGAAGGCAGATGACTGTCTTTTAAACCTCTGCTTAATAAAAGTGGAAGTTCATCTAAAGTCAAAAGAAAGTAAATCTTCTTTTTCTATTGTTACAAAGAACAGAAAATATAAACAAAAGTGAAGCTTTAAAATGGGGATGAGAAAAGAGAGAAAAGGACAGAGCTGTGGCTGTTTTGGATGCATTTTTAATGTGGAATGAAGCAACACAACATTAAACGCATACACAGATGCACTCCAAGAAGATAGGTAGTTGCTGACTGACAGCAATTATGTCACCATAATTCCTACATAGACAGAAAAGTACAACAAACAAAAAATTACATACAATGGGTAAATAAAATTATTTGGTAGTTCTAAGCAAGCAAACATACATTTCATAAAACAACAATTTGGTACCTCTAAGAATTGGTGAAAAACTGGAAAAAGGGGCCAGATTTTTCCTAATAACAGTCCCAACATGCACTTGGCAGTGTTTATGTCTAGGCTGCGCTGGTCCTTTTCCTGTTTAACAAACAAAAACAAGGATGAGCCAGATGCCCCCAAATAATAAATTCCAATAATTGCAAATGTGTATTCACTTCAACAGGAAATTAGTAAACAGCTCATTTATCATACACCTTAAAGACCCTGCATCCACACTAAGGATGGGGAGGGGAGGTAGTCAAACACAATGGAAGGCTTCTGCATTGCGATATTATATAAATTTACTGTGAGAAAGATTTATGTCAACTGAATGATCACCCTAACGCAAAATCAATTAGTTATGTTGTAGCAGTTTCTACAGTCTTTTCATGGGATTAATAAAAACTTGTAACTCAATCACTTGCATGTTTGACATTTATGATAATTATCAAAATCCTAATTGTTGACCATAAAGCCTTTAACATAACTTAACGGAGCTTAAAGGTTTTGATGCCTATGATTAGGAATCAGGTTTCCTTAATAAAAATATTTTTTTCAACAATTTGATTTCATTGATAAATATTTTTCTTGAACCTAAACACGCTGGAATTAACTTCAGCTCATACCAAATGCTGGGGCTCTGAAGTGTCTCTCTAAATCAAAGGATATATTCATCTACCCACTCTGGTGGAAGGCAGGAAGTCTATCAATACAGTCCTTCAATAGACAGATGGATAGATAGAGTTCTAAGATGTAAATTTCCTAGTAGAATACACCTAACTAGTAACCAAGTGAAAGACAACATTCCGTAAGGACACCAGAAAAAAGATAAGAACATAAACCTAAATATGGGCAGGGTAAGCTCATTCCACTTACATTTGCAATTAAGGATCCTAATTTCTCATTCCCGTCCTTCTTATATGCTTCCATTCCAGAACTACAAGTGGTCAGTTTCCATGGAAAGGAATAGAGGGCCTGGGACCATAAGCGTACCTTACATATCCAAAGCTAGTTTTCATATGGTATCTTAACTACAGTGGAAATTTGTAAAAGTATTTTTCTACAAAGGGAGAAAGTGCCTGGCTAGTCCAGTGGAGTGGAATCTAAATGTTCAAATTAAGGGATGATGCTGTGACCACCACCTTAAGCCACATATGCAGCCATATATACCTCCGGATAAAATAAATCATCACTGCAAGGACTCTTTAACAGTGAGGTACTCTTTAGCACACCATTTCTAGCCATGACCCTGAATTGGGACTTTATACAGCAAATGTAAGGGCCTCACTTAACAACAACAATCAAGGTAGATGAAGATAAGGAAACTTGTTGCCTAAGGAAGATGTGCAATAGATCTGGCCTTTTGGTCTAGGTTGTGAAGTGTAACGACTGTCCATGAATAGACCAGGTCAGATGGCTCCGCATCAATCTTCTTTCAGAGGTCACATAACTTAATTCTGATGAGGGCAGGTGTATCTCAGTTCCACAGTTCTATGCAAACAGGTGGGACCCTCCTTTCCACAGGGTTCTCTGCCTGCCCCTTGGCCATATGTATTGTCCTGCTCAGGGCTGCAGTACGCACTCCCAATGGAAAAGAGGACAGGAGAAGAGGTCATCTAGAGACTGCCTGCCTTTTGCCAGCCAAACTGCATTGATTTGTTGTGTTTCAAGGGCTTACACTTCTGTGATGCACCGTGCAAGCAAATGCAAAACTTCCTCTTACCCTGTAACACAGGTGTGGCAGATGGCAACAGCACACCATACTATGAAGCAATCCACAAGATAAACGAGTAAACTGTTGAGAAACACACGCGGCACCACAGGACTGGGCCAAAGTCCATTTGTTGAACAACAGCTCATGCAGCACTGGGCTGACGACACTGGCGCTCTGGAAAAGTTTTCCCTTTGCCGAGTTTGTAATCATTCACTAAACCCCAAATCTCTAGTCTTGTTGTGATATATATTGTGCCTTCTTCCATCATCATCAATGCCTACGTCCCCGTCACAATGGACATACACTAAGGTGACAAAAAAGAAAAAAAAGATACAAAAGACCTGGACAGACTCTTTGCAACAATATAATCATCTGACAAACTGATGATCATGAAGGATTTCAATGCATATGTTTGGCAGTGATGCCAAAACATGGAGGAAAGGCATCAGACTCACAGGACTGGAAAGCTGAACAGCACTCACTTACTCCTGCTCTGCAAGGGTGCCAGCCAGCAGCTCTCAATCACTAACACCATCTTCGGCCTAGCAAATAAGAGAAAGATATTATGGATGCACTCACAATCTGAACAGTGGCATCTCACTGATAACCAACATTGCCTGTGAGTGGACTTGTGGCTATGTGCAAATGACCATGACTGGAAACACTCAAAATTCCCGGGAACAAGAGTCGAGAGCTCCCACAGCAAACATCTAATAAACATCAAAATTGGAGAAACTCGCAGGGGGTTCTCTACAACAATGATCCTAATGACATTCTCTGCGAAACAGTTCCCAATTAAAAGTGAAATGAATCTCCCAGGATGCTATCAGGCAGCCATCGACTTTATAGGCATTTTAAAAAAAAATCACCATAACAAATTCAAGGAGTACAGTGAAGACATCCAAAAGCTCTTTGTAAGAAATTAAAATTGTACGCTGTCAGCACCAATCCTGTGACCCTCTGCTCATGGAGCACCAAGGAGCAAGGGGCAGACCAATAGATTCCTGCATCCCAAGGTCAGAATCAGACAGAAGGTACCTTGAGAGCCTGCCAAGAGCCAACCAGCATCCCCAGAAGGCCCATCAAGGTTAAAGGAGAAGGAAATGAAAACATCTCTCCCTACCCACCTCTTGACCCAAAATGTGTATGTATTTCATAAACTTTAATTTACTAAGATAAA